ATTAGACTTAGATGTCATATCCAATACTCTTATTACTCAGTAGTGTTTTTTTAACGTACTGAAAACGTTAATTTGAATAAATTCACAAATGTTTAAAATTTTTGTTTGTTTATTTTTTTCCTCCCTCCCTCGTAGGTTTTGAACTTTAGAGGTGACGTTAAACATAGAATAACTTTGAACAGCCTAATATATGACTAATCATCTATAGAACCCCCTGACAGGGGCAAATACACAGTTCATTTCTGGAAGAGGAACCAGTGTTCACCTTAACTATGCATGTCTAAGGTTATCTGCTATATACCCAAAAGCAGAGAAGTTTTTCAAAGAAATAATGCATTTCACTCTATAATCAACTGAATCCCACCCCCAACACAAGAACCCCTGACCCTGGGGCCACAAATTTTACAATTGTGCGAAACTAACTTTTTAAAGCTGTAGACAATTGGTCTACAATAATTTGAAATTCTATAGACCTGAAAAATTTCCTATAGACCAAAAAAATTATATATCTTTATTTTTATTTAATTGTATATTTTTCAATGGCTTATTCCTTTTTCCCTACACTGCATTATTTTATGCATTGGCATAAGTTACATGGACATTTATAACCATGATTATTAAGTAATGAATTTATTTATTTATTTTTTTTTTTTTACACTTTGAACACATGTTGAATTTTTCAGATGCAGGGAACATTAAAATTTCTAAGAAGATTTCAATTCAATTTTTATCATTTTTTATGTATTAGTTAATCAATAGTCATGCATAAATATCACTGAATTTTATATATATTAACTATCTTTCTATCCCCTTTTGCAAAGGTGCATACGGTGAATATTAACATTTTTTTCATGTTAAAATTTTAAATGTACTTTAGTTATATTTTTTCTGTGATATAAATCAAACCAACACCCATTTTTTGGTTTACTGAGTCAGGAAATAATTTTATGGGATATTTAGTCGTATTTACAATAAACAGAGGAATTGAGGAAATTCGGTCTACAAAAAAAAATTACGATCGTTTTAGGAATAAATAAAACATGTACTACTGCAAAATGGATCAAACAAAGGAGATTTATGAACAATAGAGCATTGGAGCTTAAGTTTTTTCTTGTCTGAAAAGTTTTATTGAGTAAAACGGCCAATTTTACTCTATAGACAAATCGGTCTTGAGGTATTCACCTTGCTATAGACCGGATGCATTTTCTATAGATTTTGTCTATTGGTCTACCGTTAATTTTGCACACTGATTTGGAAGAGGCACTCTTGCTCCCCATAACTATGCACTATGTTTATCTGCTAAATATGCAGAAGTAGAGAAGGTTTTCAAAGAGTTAATGTATTTTCACTGTTTAATAACTAAAGCCTCACCCGATCACCAGAACTCCTGACTCAGGGGCCATGAAATTCACAGTTTTGGAAGAGGTACCCCTGCTCATCACAACTATGCACTTACTTTGTTTGCTTAACTGAGAAGAAGATTTTCAAATAAATAATGCATTTTCATTACCTAACCAATAGCCCCAACCCCCATTGTCGGATACCCACGGTGATTTCGTCTTTTACTCATCACCAGTGGGCAAACTCGTCGAAAATTCATCGTATGTAATTAATATGCGTGGGTCATTTGATTATCTGTTCCACAGAGTTGCAATGGTAAACAACAAATTAAAGTTTATGTTACACATGTACACTTCGGCAATGACAAAAACTTTTCCATAGTTAATACATGGATTACAAATAAATCCACTCACCGGTGCATTTCACAGTTTGAGAAGGTATACCTATGTACGATGTAATTTTGTACTGGTATTTGATGTTAGTGACCTGTACAATTTGTCTTTAATCATTTTAAAACAAAATTTGCAAGTTTTAATGAGCGTCAAGATATAAAGCATAAATAACAAAATAATAAAACGTATTTTCAAAATTAGAGTTCCAATTTTCTGATTAGTTGTCTTTAATCAACAAATTAGCTTATTTTATGACAATATTTCGGTGAGTTTGCCCACGGGTGATGAGTAAAAGACCAAATCACCCGTGGGTATCCGACGATGCCCCCCCCCCCCAAAGATGGCAGCCATGGGAAATAATTTTTGACAAGATGTGTTTGTGAAACAATGAAGTCCCCATATGGCAGCTTATGGCTAAAGTGAAAGTTTTTTAAAATGCAAATCAAACTCCAAGATCAAGGTCAAAAGATAAAAATTGTTTATACCTAAAGAAAGGTCTTGTCTCAAAGAATATACTTGTGAAATATGCACGTAAGTCAAGGTCAAATGGTCAAAATTAATGGTGTCCAAGGAAAGCTCTTATTACAAGAACAACACAAGTGAAACATGAAAGCCCTAGCACAAACCATTCAAAAGTTAAGAACAGGTCTGAAGTTTTTCAAAAGTAGGTCAAACTCCAAGGTCTAGGTCATATGGTCAAAATTGTTGGTAGCTAAGAGGTCTTTTCACAAGAAATACACATGTGAAATTTGAAAGCTTCTGCACCAACTATTCAAATGTTATGGCTCAAATAAGGTCAAACTCCAAGGTCAAGTTTTAAGGGTCAAATTGTTCAGATATCCAAGGGAAGGTCTTCTCAAAAATGCACAATTATGTGAAATATGAAAGCCCTAATACTAGCCACTCAAAGTTTAAGGTTTTCAAAAGGGGTCAAACTCCAAGGTCAAGGTCAAAAGGTCAAAATATATTCATACCAAAAGAAAGTCTTATCACAAGGAATATACGTGAAGTATGGAGCCCTAGCACCAACTGTTCAAAAGTTATAGCCAAGGTTAAAGTTTGGTAAAATTTTGCAAAAGTGGGTCAAACTCCAAGTTCAAGGACAAGAAGTCAAATATGTTGGTATCCAAAGAAAGGTCTTGTCAAAAGGAATATACATGTGAAATATGAATGATATGAATATTTTTGGAATGAATTTTGAGGTAATGTTATTTGTTTATATGTAAAGAGATTGAATAGAAAGTGTAATTTTGAATAATTTAATTTATTAACATTTCATTGCAAAATTGGGTATTCTATCTGAGAAGTTCCAAACCTTTATTTTTTTATACCCCCAATTTTGTCAGTCAATTTAAAGCAACTAAAGGCCTGTAAAAAATATAAAAAGAGATGACATTAAATTTTCACTAATACCCCCGGTAGTTTAATGATCTCCCCTTGAAAGAGGATGTCGAACTCAACCATGAAATGGTATGTGATAATCCAGAGAAGAGATTTTGATTGGCTAAAAATCTGTTTTTAAAATTACATCGGAAAAACATCATACTACTTTAATGGAAAATGAGAGGTAAACAAATTTTATTTATTCACTGCAATATTTAAACACTGGAATTGAATTTTTAAACCCACGCATTTTTTATTTTTGCTCTCTGTCTGGGATTAGCACATACCATTTAATGGTTGAGTTCAACTTTTAGGCTCGGCAAGCAGAGTTTTGATGCTGTTTACGGGGAAAAAAGAAAATAAAGACATGCATGCCATATATGGTTGTGTAGATAAATTATTGTAGAAGACATAGGTATAAACAGTTTGCCAGTGCATGTCCTCTGAAATTGTAAATGAGTGCGATTCTGAGGGAGGGGGGGGGGGGGGACTCCGTGTAATACAGAGTTGGATACCTTGTGTTATAATTATACTATGCATCAAAAATTTATTACAGAAACAAGTGCCTGTGAGCCCCACCCTAGCACCAGAACCCCTGACCCTGGGGCAATGAATTTCACAATTTTGATAGAGAGCTCAATGCTTATTACATTCATGCCAATAGTTTGACTTCTTGATGTTCATGAGTAAAGAAGAAGATTTTTAAAGAATTAATATATTTTCACTATATAATCAACAGAGCCCCGTCCTAACACCAGAACCCCTGACCCAGGGGCCATGAAAATCACAATTTTGGAAGAGGCAGTCTTGTTCAACATAACTATGTACTTAGTTTATAGTTTATTTAATACCTAGGCCTAGGAGCAGAGAAGAAGATTTTCAAAGTAATAATGCACTATCACTATATAATCTATATAGCCCCACCCTAGCACCAGAATCCCTGACCCTGGGGTCATGAATTTCACAATTTTGGTAAAAGGCTCAATGCTAATTATTACATTCATGCCAATAGTTTGACTTCTGGATGTTCATGAGTAAAGAAGATTTTTAAAGAATCAATATCTTTCCACTATATAATCAATAGAGCCCCACCCTAAGCAGAACCCCTGACCCAGGGGCCATGAAATTCACAATTTTGAAAGAGACAGTCTTATTCAACATAACTATGTACTTAGTTTATAGTTTATTTAATACCTAGGATCAGAGAAGAAGATTTTCAAAGTATTAATGCACTTTCACTATATAATCTATATAGCCCCACCCTATCACCAGACCCCCTGACCCTGGGGCTATGAATTTGATAATACACATAATTATGTATGTGCATGTTTGTAATTGTATCAATCGTGTTTGTTATTTGTGATGCCTGAAAGACAGTGAAATTTAGGTCCCTGATTTGGAAATTTAAAAAAATCTCTCTTTCAATAGAGATAAATGCACACTGTATTATTTGTTGATTTTGTCAGTAAACATGGTAACGTTATATACTATAGAATAAAAATATTATTAAGAACATATCTAATATATAGGCTTGTGCCAAGTTGTGGTCCCCTTTATGAAAAAAAAAAGTCCGAGGAACTTTATTCATTCTTTGTTTTTGGTTGTCTAAAGAAAACCTTTGAAGCCTATCCTTATATGTATAACCGTTATATATATTAACTCATATAAAATACTGATGTCAGCTATAATTGCTCATAAATGTAAAAGTTTTGTTGATTAGAGGAAATTCGAACAAAGCCAAACATAACTACATGGCATGCAGGTCCTGATAGTACCATTGACCTTTAACACCTTTCGAGTACTTCTACAATTTACTACATATATTTATGCACATGCATCTTCTTTCGACTGCACTTCATTTTGCTATAGATCTAATATACTTACCAAATCATGATCATTGGGATACATGTGACATTTCCAGTCAGCCAGATCTCGTGGAATGTTCCCGCGAACTTTACTCGGCGATGTGACGTAACGAGATTTTTTTTTTTTCATTTTTTTTCCCGATTTCACATTGATCATTTTAGATATAACAAGAAATTAAATACTCTGAAAACCTATCAATAAAATAATATTTATTTTATTTTTTCGAAGCGATGACCCCTGGCATTCAAGAGTTGATTTGCTGCTATTTACAACGTTCTTTTTAAAGATAATAATGGACCGCGGTATACTTTATATCACATTGTTAGCCTTTGCTAGTTGAAGCTAATAATATACCGTGGTAGACCGCACGGTCTAAAAGTCAGACTTTATGAGTCTTATAAGCATGCAAATAACACTAATAAGTTTGTTATAGTAGCAGCTAAAAACTATCGGATGGGGTGGATAGACAGAAACGCAAATTAGATTTAATGTACCCGCGACTGAAGGGGCTTCAATTCTATAAAATTCCCAATTGCTTATAAATTCGACTTAGTGGTATCATCTATTCGAATACTAGTTGGTGAAATCACTAATTTCAGTTGTTGATATTAACTATTCAGAAGTGTTTTTTTTTTTAATAGAGGGAACATTGTCTATTCAAAAAGATATCACGATTAAAATTCATGAAATCACATTAAGGTGATATCCCCAGTCGATGAAGTTTTGAATAAAATCGAAGATACGATTACCTATTTAAAATGGTGAAATCATTCCAGGGCAATAAATAGCTGCAGATCTGTAGCTCATTGGTCTGAAAAAATTGGGATGGACGACCACAGAGCTACAGGGTCGCCTATTAAAAAACTGTATATTTAATGTGCACAAAAAGTGCGCTGTTTCTCTATTTATTTTATATTCAATTTATATTTCATTTATTTTCAATGGATAGCCTTGTAGCTCTCTAGTCGTCTATCCCAATTTTTTTTTCAGACCTGCGAGCTTCAGATCAGCAGCAAAAAATAATATCAAAACGATGTCTCATTATCTTATAAGAACAATACAAGGCATAAAATATGAATTCCTCCTTTCTCCTCGATGTTCAGCTGTTCTAAACCATCAATGGATTAGGACTTCGTTGATGTGTTATTTATAATGAGCTGAAGTCTACATAATGGAAGGCTACTTAAGATCTAGTTTCTATATTTGCCCTTTCAGTATGTGCTTCATTAAAGTATACGAGGGTTGATCCAAAAGTTCGTGGAATTTCTTTCTAAAATTTTTTTGTGACGTGATTAAAGTAAACAAAAGACATATCTATAAAATACAGCCATTATGCAACAATACTGGAATATTTCATCACATTCCAATTATCATTAAGATCACACGAGCTTTCTTAACTTGGATAGCTGTAGAATTCGGAAGGGGGGGGGGGGGCTTTGGCGTAACGTCAAGTTAAGAATGTCACGTCACGCTCTAGGAGCATCTCGCCCTCTCGTTCAAAATGACTTAAAAATTATACGTAACACTGCATTCTTTTCTCCATTTCTGCCTTCGAGGAAAGCCTGGGTACCCATCTCGCACCCGCCCTTCTTCATATTACGATCATTTTTCAAACTACGCTCTGTCGTTTCATATGATGTTCCGATTTCAGTAGCATTGTCAAGCACAGTGCATCGGTGATCCACGTCCATTAACGCTCTCAATTTGACTACGAGGAGAGAACGACCTTCCAATAGGCGGCTAGTGTTACTATTATGAATTTTTAAAATATTTTTTAATTATGAAAATTCAACAAGCGTATATTTTTTCACCTGTAATTTTCAATCTTTTCCATTAAAAAATAAATAAAATATAAATTCCACGAACTTTTGGATCAACCCTCGTGTACACACGTACTACCGTAAAATACGTGACCAGTAACGCGTATTGTTTTTCTTAACTCTACCACATCTATCTTTTTAACGAAATCTTTCCTATATCTAATTCATCTACCTATTTTTTTTTTGTTTGTTTTTTTTTTTTAAATTAAAGTCATTGCTCAGCTGACTATTGACATTGTATGTACGATAACTATCAGGGAGGTTCATTTGTAACCTTGTAACGAATTGCTTTAGTCCAGCCCGTTTATTAAGAGATATACAATGTACATCAATACCACATTTATTTGTTCATGTACCAATTAATTTATCCAAGCAAAGATAATTCTATCCAATAATCATCATATTCTTAAATTCAGGAGGAAATATATAGATTTTTTTTTCAAGTGTCTATCAAATGAAACACAATTTATATATATCATAAATCGATTAATACAGTTATTTTTTTCCGTAATAAATAACTTGTTTTCTAGGAAAATGATACGTGTTAACGATTCCTATTAATGAAACACAATCTAAAAAGGTTATCTCTTGTTCATATTGGAACCTTTCACCGTATCAAGCAAATCCTAAATTGAATCGATAATTTAAAAAAAAAATTAAAGCAATTGTTGGTTTATCCTCCTGAATTTACGAAACCATGTTAACAAAGCATTTAAATTTATTTAATTTAAACAAGGGTAAAATCTTAATGTACACATCTTTACGGCGGAGAAGCATTTGAAATCTGTTTAAACGGTTTGTATGGGGAGATTAACACATAAAACTCCTACTAAAATTTTTAATGTAGTTCCTTATATAAAATAAACAGGAAATAACGGTGATTGGACTCGTAGTTTTATTGTATTCATTGGAATTCTTAAAGATGAATAATTAGAACGTAAAATTCAAAAATCATCACACCTTGAAGTTCATTTGTTAATATATATATATATATATATATATATATATATATATATATATATATATATATATATATATATATATATATATATATATATATATATATATATATATATGTTTATATTTATATATTGAGAGAGAGAGAATTGAAGAGAATGTTACTCATTTACTGATTACAACTTCGTTGAAGGTATCTTCTCAATAAATAAATAAAACACGAAGGTGATATTAAGTAATTGTATCTTTAAAAATAAAAAATAAAAAACGAACTTAATTTTCGTTATTTCCGTAAAAAGGGTAAACAACAGGATAACTGACATTAATTTGTTTCACAGAATTTCACATATATAAATAGATATATGTGCAGTTATCTATTTTCTTTTCTAAGGTTAATATGTACTTCATGCCAATCTCGGCTATTATAATCTATATCAAACATTAACTGCTTATTCTGCTGATGTGTAATAACTTACATATGTATCTTTTTTTTTTTTTTTTAAAGAATTTGTCACTTGTTTTCGATCCCTTTGTCTGCATTATGCAATACACTGGTGATTCTGAAATCACATTAAGTTCAATTACCAGTGCACCAGATATTGCATGTGCTGTCAATATTAGGTTATGATTAAACAAGGTTAACTAACTGTTTATATGTATGAAAGTACTGATAATTTCTTGGAAGTTGCAGTGCAATGTTGATTTTAAAATAATGGGTTTAAAAATATTTCTTTTACCACGTTTCATCAAATATACTAATAGTTAAAGATTTTTTTCCTGTATAAGTCATCAAATGTGCAGTAAAAAAGCTAACATATTTGCATCTATTTCTTTTTGGGGGGTGGGGGTGGGGGTGGTCTTTTTCCCACGTGTCCTAGGCATGTATTTACGTGAAATCAATCAAACAGAATTTTACCTTAAACATAAATGGAAAATAACTCGTAATCTCGCAATGTATAATTTCCGAGCTAAAATCATCAAGGTTTTGGGTATCTAATCAACAGTAAATTTACAGTGACTGACTTAAAAGTTTAATATCTTAAAAATGACTTTAAATGCAAAATTACCAAATCTGGAATCTTTGTTACATTTGGTACCGTGCTATGTCTGGAATTGACAATTGAAAGAACTACTAGGGAAGAGCCTGGATTAGTGTCTTCGGGGGGCTAAGACCTTTAAATAGGGAGGACTTTGGCAGTCAGACAGATTCGATCGCCGGTGGCCAGATAGTTGGTAGAGGTCTGGGTTTGAATCCTAGTCTGGTCCGTCTCATATTCTCCTCTCCGGGTACAGAAGAATTTCTTCAAAAGAAATGAAATGAAACGTTAATAATTATTGATTGTGTGTGTGTGTGTATATATATATATATATATATATATATATATATATATATATATATATATATATATATATATATATATATATATATATATATATATATATATATATATTAAAATTACCCTCGATTCAAATGTATGTTAATTATTTGACATTTATTGTTTTCTCTGAAAAAAAGTAAATAAGAGGATGACCGACATTATTTCATTTCACAGAATTCTCTTTATACAATGTATCTACACAAAATTAAAATGATTTCCCTATATTCTCCCTGAACCCGCTTACTTCATGCAGATCTCAGCTATTAATCTATATATGCTTCACCAGAACAATAGCTACATACCGGTATTCTATTGGAGTGTTATTTTAAAATCAGATACTTCAGTATTACATTGCTTTAGTGTGCCCCAGATATTCAATTAGGTTATAAATAAGAGACATATATAGATTCTATTAAGTATTAGCACATATGGAAAAAAATGCTGATTTTTTTTTTTTTGGGGGGGGGGGGGGGGGCGGAGTGGGGACGTACATGCAATATTGATTATACAAGCAAATTCAGAGAATTGTGGTCCCCCGCTTTCGAGAACTTATTGGTTGGGGGGTGAAATGACATGGCATATATTGTAAATGTCTTATCTGTCTTGGTTTGTCTATACATCATATAAATATGGTTTATATTTTAAAGCAATTCAGTCTGTAGAAAAAGGTACAGCTAAGATTAAAGTTGTAGAAAGACAAACTGGTCTAGGTCATAATGTCAGTAGTCATAATACATTCAGAAAATGTCTTGTCAAAGTAATGCACATATCAACAATGAATAAATATGAAAGCCCAATCTCTTCTGATGCAAAAGCTACACAGCCAATGATAAAATATATTGAAAAGTGGGACAAACTTGAAGATCATAAGGTCAAAAATTATAACATTCCTTGAAAGATGTTGTCACAGGAAGTGA